CGTAAAAACCCAAATTTCCATTCAAAAGGACTGAACTTGTAGACAATTAACCGTGAGAACCTGTTAGTTTAGTCCGTGCACAGAAAACCAACTACGCCAGCTACACGATCCCAATCGATCCCCCGATCACCAGCGACATCTCTATGTTACATAACTCCCGTCCTTTCTTTCTTCTTTTTATAGATAGCGTCATAGACAAAAAGGTTTACAAACTGAGGCGGTTTGTGTAAAGAGGCTCTTCGTCAAAGTCGAGAGTTGGTGCTAAGGTTTTGTTCCCCCTATTCTCATTGTCAATACAACTTATATTCGACTAAGAAAAATTAATCACGGAAAGAGCAACTTAACTGCTCAGACTGGGTCGCTCAATGAGCCGTGAATGGTAGTGGTACTGGAAAAACGTCACCCTTGTTTGCGCTAACTCCTAGCCAAGCATTAATCTGACGAGAATCGGAGACACCGTTGAATGGTCAGTGACTTTTGGTCAAGTCCAGTTTGTAATACATACGTGATAATAAAGTTAGCGAAAATTGTTACGCACAGCTACCAATTAGAGATACAATACTGACGTCAAAACCTAAGTAAATACCAGTTCGTGTGCCTGTTCTATGTTTTTAGCCTACGAGCTAAGTTTCTCGCCATGAAGGTAAAAAGAAACGGACTGGGCATTGGGATCGGTGTGTGTGTGGTGTGTGGTGTGTGTGTTGTGGTGTGTTGTGTGTGTTGTGTGTGTTGGTGTTGTTGGTGTGTGTGTGTGTGGTGTGTGTTGGTGTGTGTTGGTGTGTGTTGGGTGTGTTGGTGTTGTTGTGTTGGTGTGTGTCTAGCTGAAAGGTTGTATATACTTCACTGTAAAAAGAAATTCGCAGGATACTATAAAAACCCCAAAAGGGTAAAAGTACATACACAAGACGAGCAAATCGAAGGGTGTAATAATGGACGCTTGTGGGCCGCGAAGCACATCGATCCCGCGAGGTTATGCAAATTGCAATTACCGATCCCTCGCTTACGTCTCGTCCTGACCCGAGACCAAAAGTCTGTGTCCCACTTTTATACTTACGACGTCGTGTCCGTCATACTCTTTGTTATATCTGAAAAAACTTGTAACTCTATTGGACCACCACCAGTAACCATACTCACCCCAAACTTACTGAGCCTTCAACACTAAGGTTAGTGGAATCGGAATCAATAGTGCCTCTACAGGGCACATACCATTCAACATTCAGCCGAAACCTTTTTCGCCCAGCGACTTTACGCTTTACATTACATTACATTTGATAGGTTCCTCCGTTTGTATAAGAAATAAACGTGGACTATTACCGATTGCCCCGGAGAAAATTGTCAATGCATTGGATGGTAACATGGATTTCATGTTGATTAGATTTTTATTGTCGACACGAATATCTGGAGTAGGAAGGTTGACGAAAAGCTGTTTACAAGAGAAAGGAAATTCGGATATGTTCAAGGAAGGCCTGATTCCAGAAAAATGTAGTCAAAGGAAGTGTCTTTACTCGTTCGTTACAGCCAGACAAAGTCGACGATATTTAAAAGTTTGTACGACAGTCGAGGCAAATGTACTTCTTCTTTGGGTCAAGGATCGAAAGATTTGTTACGACGTTAAAGGAGTTTCCCCGTAAGAAACAGAGAATAAGGAGGTCCCTATATACTGGTTTTTGTTAGAAAAGGTCGTGAATTTATTCACTCTTCGATTAATTATTTTTGTCGTCCTTTCACCCGACGTCGGCTGGGTAGAATGGCGTTACAGGAACCTTTCTGGTCAGCATGTCGTGACTGACGTCGTGGTCTTACACTAGAAGGACTAGATCTGGTCTTCATGTGTCAAACGGAGTCGTTCACCTTTTTTTGTCGCGTTACTCTGGTCTTATTTACTACTGGGTGCCTCTACCTGGATTGAACCACTATGCCTCTCATCTATCTACTGGGTTAATAGTTCGCCCACTTGTCCGCTTTTGAGGTTCCCAAAACTGTAGGCACTCGGCGTGACGATAGGGGGAGTCGTGCCGGCACGGGAAAACCACGGAGAATTTCCTAACAAGCGCACTAAACACCAGACAGATGTGACGAGAGGGACTCTCGTTACCCGTCAAGGAGGATTTCCAAGAAGACAGGTGAAGCTCCCCTCTACCAGTCGGAAAACACTCCTAATGTAGTGATCACCTAAGACACCTCATATCCACACGAACACACACCCCTAACGCAGTTATTTCCAAAACTATCCCCGTTTCACCCTTGTTATGTTACGTACATTGGCGCATACAAACCTTTATGGTACTTATACAAAGACCACGACGCAAAATCCCTCTTCAACTGACATTATTCTACGTTGTAGTGAGAATTTCCAAGACCCCTTATTTAACTACTACATGTGAACATATAAATTATAACTAGGGCGACTTTCGCGGAGCGAGTCGTTCTACGTGAACTAGGCTATTAACAACTTGACCTACTTACAATATTCACAACTTACCTTCTCCGAGAACCCGTAAAGTAGGCGAATTTGGTTGTCATAAATTAATTTACAATTGTAAATCGTGAAGTGTTGTAGGTATAATACTCGCACAAATTCAATACTTTGGCCATTCGTGAACGTTTAACATAGAGACGTTAGTTGCCGGACAACTTATTTTCCAACGACGTGTTTATTGCATTTCCGAGTGTGTCTCTATTACAACCCAATACCGGTCTAGAAAGCCGGTCAGTGCGACTCTACAGCGCGCGGTTGTCTGACAACCAGCGGCCGAAGACACATAAAACGGTTGAAGCGTGGTGACCTTTGGGCGTTAGCTCGGCTCGTCATACTTGACGCTACGAGCACTCACCGTGAGTGAGAGGATGGTCGTCCGCAGCCATCACACATAAGTAGTAAGTTTCTCCGTGTTGCCTCGTCTCTTCCTCTTGCTCGAGGCAAAATTTTTGTTTGGTTGTTATCGCAAAAAGAAAGGAAAAGTGAGTAGCAGGTAACTTTTTACTGCTGTCCTCGAGCATATTTGGCTACTACTCCACTACGGCGGGCACACACAAGGTAGAAGTAAGAATTTAGTAAACAAAGGAGGGATAAGCAATGCGAAGAGTACTGACTAAGCGATCGACATTCGGGTTAGTACACATAGAATAACAGGCGAAGGCCACCACAAGGCTGCGCTAAGTTGTACAACTTAGCCGTCTTTTCCGTAGTCCAGCCGGTCTTTTCTGGGCTGCCACGTCGCGTGTGTGAGCTTATCCCGCACGTTGCAGTACAAGCAGGGCTAAAGGGTAAATGACGGCTAAAGCCCGCCACAAGCCCGGAAATATCTTTACTCGGTTAGTTAAATGAACCTACGAGTTCACTGTCAACCGAGACTTGTAAAGTCGTTCAGTCCGGACATTTTACAAGCCCACAAAGATAAAACGAGTTCTAAGGCGTCGGGGAAATTGATTTATTGGAGTCTCTCTCTCTTGATTTTGTTTTTTTGTCCCTCATGTTGTCGAGAGCCTTCTTTCCTTGGTCCTGGGTTAATAAGAGAGTGATCTCCGGGAAGATTTTTCCAACTGCCTAACATATTCATGTCCACTATCAAAACTCACAGTCGTACTAACCCGACACTTGAGACGTGAATTTCATTGATAATGTTCCTGATTACCTCCTTTTCGATTATAAGGTGGCTTTTTGAGGATTGTTCGAAAGAATGAAAGTCAATTTGTGTTACTTCTTGAGTTTACAAACTGTCAGAGACAGTTTATGGAGGCCGCGAAGACAGTCACCTCGGTGAAATTGGTTATGCCATAAAATAAAGTTTATTTATA